GCAGGTCCGCGTTCGTGAACTGTCGCCCGTCGGACGTCACGATCGCGACGGCGCCGGGGTTCGCGACCGCCGCGCGGACGACCTCCATAGACGTCGCTGAGCGGCGCGCGCGCGCGCGCGATGGCTCCGCGCCGTCCCCCGGTCATCTCGTCGACGAGTCCGTCTGTCGAGTGTCCGTCGAACATCATGCATCGCGCGGCGCGTGTCGGTCGTCGATCGTGGTATCGTCGATGAAAAGAGCCGTTTCCGCGATGAAGGCCGTCGCTCCCAACGGCATTTGGCGCGCGTTTTCAAAGCTCCGATCTCGGTTTCGCGCGGTTCACACTGCTGCACAACTGCAGGCGCGCGGAGCACGCGCGGGGCCGCGCCAGATGCTCACGCAGCGGCACGCGATCGTTCAGACCCCCGCGGTGGCGGGGGGCAGGCTCCTGAAGGCGACCTCGCCGGCGCAGGCCGCGGCGACGCGCGCGGGATCGCCGAACAAGCCTCCCGCGGACGCGCCGACGAAGGACAAGTCCTGCGACGGGTTCCGCGCGCGCGAGGACGAGAAGGAGAACATCGATCCGGTCACGGGCGCGCGCGCGCGCCTCGCCTCGGGAAGAGCCGCCGCGAGCGGAGGCGCGTCGCCGTCGCGCGTCGTCCCCGCGCTGTCGTCGTTTCGTTTGGATTCCGCGATTTGGTTTTTTTTTTTTCGCGCCTCGATTCAAACGCCGAGACTGACGCGCTCGGAGCCATCCCGCAGGCCCCGACATCGCGGCGACGCCTCGCGAACCCTCGGAGAGCGGGACGAGGAACGCCGGCGAGCGACCCGCGGCGTCGCCGCGCGTCCCTCTCGCGGACATCACGCGCAAGTTTGTTCCGATGGTGCGCGTGTCGTCGATTTGCTTTCGCGCCTGTTTTTTGGTTTTCGAAATACTGTACCCGACGATGCGAACGTCGCGCGCGCGGCTCGCGGATCGCGCCGCCGCCGCGCCTTCTCCGCGCGTATCGACTGACTCGACCGACCGACGCGCTTCATCAGAAACGTCTCGATCCCGGGAAGTTTAGCATCACCGTGGGGGGAAAGGTACGTCGACGCTCGTCTTCGCGCACATCGCGGGGGTGTCCCGCGCGTCGATCGATTTCGATCGCGCTCGCGCCACTTTTTCGAAAGCTCGTTTTGAAGTAACCGACAGATGCGGTCGATCGAACGCCGCCGCCGCCGCCGCCGCGCGTTCGCTCCTCCTCGATTCAGACTCACGTCTTCGTCTCTCCGTCGTCGTCGCGTTCCCTCAGGGCGGCGCTCAGGTGATCGAGAGGGTCGACGCGCCTCGCGTCGCGGACGCCGCCGGCGTCGAAGGTGCGCGTCGCGCGATCGTCCCGGTCGGCTCTCGACGGATTTCCGAAATAAATCGATTCTTTTCCCGCCGCGCTCGGTCGGTCGCTGACCTTCGTCCTTCTTTCTTCGCGCGCGAACAGGGGGTGAGGGCGTCGCGGTCGGCGAGAAACGCTCAGTGGCGATGACGAGAGCGATGGAAGCCGCCGGGCGGAAGATGCGGTTCCGGCTCAGGTGACGAGACGAACGGCGGGTCGATCGAGGCGGAGGATGGGTGGAAGTAGCGGCGACTTTCGAAGGACGGGATGGGGTGGGTGGGGGAACGACGGGACAGAGAATTGATCGCGCGCGCGCGCGCGGCGCTAGCATCGCGAACGGCACGACGTCCGTTCACGCGCGTCGGGGTAACACGCGCGAGGGTAGAGGCGGGGGCAACGCGTAAGCGTCATCGAATATTGAATCAAATGAATTACAGGGTAACGTCTTTCGAATCGACACCAGTCATCATCGGTGAACTCGATCGTCGATCTCAACCGACGCGCGCGCTCGAGCCGCGTCGTTTGAAAGCAAAAAAATCGCCGTTTGAAACCTCGACGCGCCGCGGTCACGCCGATCGAGTCGCGCGGCTGACCGAGAGCCGTTCGAAGGGCGGTCGCGCCTTCGCGCGGCTTCTCTTCACACGCGTCCGCGTCCGCGACACGATGCCGACGCCTCCGAACAAGGAGAACGGCGGCGCGGCCGCGAACGCGACGTCGACGGCAGCCTCGGGCGGCGCTCGCGCCGCGGCGAAAGCGACGACGATGCCGCGCTCGCTCGCGTCGATGCGTCAAGATCCGTTCGCGAACGTGTTCAAGCTCTGCGGGCTCGATCAGATGCGCGACGTGACGACCGAGGGCGACGTCGCGACGATCGTGGACCGGTGCGCGCGTTGGTTTAGGGTTTAGGGTTTAGCGCGTCGCGGCTCGGCTCGGCTCGGCTCGCGAGGCGGCCGCGGCGGCGGCGGCGGCGGCGCGCGGGCGAGGGCGCGCGCGCTCGCCGCGCGCGGATGTCATTTTCGTTCGCCGTCGTTCGGATGTCCACCCACGCTCCACCGCGTCTCGTCTGTCGCGTCTTCTCATCTCGTCCGTCTCCCCCCCCCCCGCGCGCCGCAGGTCTCTCGGCCGGAAGGTCTTGAACGTGAACGGCAACGTCCCCGCGGCGAACTACTTCCGCCTCCCGAAGATCGGGAAGCCCCCGCTCGGGCTCAGAGGGCGCTTCGCCTACGTCCAAGCGCGTCTGGTGAGCGCGACGCATATCTCCGTTCGTTTAAAGTTTTTTTCGTTCGTCTTTCCCTGCCTCCTCGCCCGAATCGAACGAATCGAATCGAATCGAATCGTCGCGGGGTTCGAACCGCCGTTCGACTGACCGACCGCCGTTCACCGCAGGACCCGGAGCGCTTCTACGCGATCCACCTCGACGTTCTCTGCGTCGGTAGCGGCGACGGACCGGGTAAACACGACACCGGATTCCGCGCGGGCGCCAAGACTGTTCGCCTCTCGCTGTCCAACCTCTACAAGAAGAAGGGCGATAACAAACCGTACGACGCGTTAGGCGGCACCGCCGTGAACCTGACGCACGAGCCGGCGACGCGCGGGTGGGTCATCCTGTGCTTCGACGTCCCGCAGCTCCTGCGCGCGGCGACGACGAAAGCCGCCAAGGCGGCGGCGAAGCGCGACGGCGGCGCCGGGAAAAAAAGCTTCCCGGCGCCGGCGTTCGACGCGATCAAGTCGATTCAAATCGGCGGCGCGATCGCCGCGCGGAACATCTTCACGAGCGACTTTCTGTACACCGCGGAGGACCTCCCCGCGGAGATGCACCTGTCGTCGAAACCGGACGTGGCGCACGAGTTCGTGTGGGTCGGAGACGTCGCGCCGAAGGGCGACTACGCGCCGCACGCCGCAAAGCGCGATGGCGGCGGCGGCGGCGCGGCGGCCGCGTACGAAGACCCCGAGGACGCCGCGCTCGGGGCGATGCGGAGAGAGGGCGTGCCGTTCGCCGGCGGCGTGGACGACATGATCGACGCGAAGATGACGGAGACGGACGCGAAGCCGTTGCCGCCGCCGCCGCCGCCCGAGCCCCCGGTTGAACCCGCGCCGCCGCCGGTCGGCGGACCGGGCGCGCCGACGTCGACGTCGACGTCGACGCGGGTTGGTCCCCCGCCCGCGGCGGCGGGGAAGCCGCGAGGCCTCGCGAACGCCCCCGGCGCGGTCGCGGACAGAGACGACGCGGGGTACTTTGGCGCGGGCGGCGCGGGGGGGCTATCCCTCCACGGACGCGCGCGCGAGTTCGCCGGCGCCGCCGGCGACGTCGACGCCGTCACCGGGATGCCGCCGCTGACGGCGAAGGGCGACGCGCCGGCGTCCCCGCCCGCGGGCGCGGTTCTGACGCCGGCGTTGAAACTGGAGCGCGTCATCGGGCTGAGCGGCGAGCACGCCGGCGCGGTGTGCTGGGCGCCCGAGGGCTCGAGCGTGGCGTATCCGTGCGGCGGCGTCGTCGTCGTGTCCGACGCGCTCACCGGGAAGCAGTCGCACTTGTTCGGGCACACCGAGGACGTGCACCTGCTGACGTTCTCCAAGGACGGGCGGTATCTCGCGACGGGTCAGCGAGGGCGGCACCCGACGGTTCGGTTGTGGGACTTTGAGACGATGAACTGCGTCGCGACGATGCAGGCGCACGCGTCGGGGTTGAGTTCGGTGGACGTCTCCCCCGACGGCCGCGCGCTCGTCGCCGCGGGGATGGACACGCAGGGGAGGCAGCTCATCGCGGTGTGGGACATCTCGAAGACGCCCCACGGTGGCGCCGCGCCGATGGTGTTGAGGCATCGCACGGACTACCACGTCAACTGCGTGCGGTTCTCGCCGTTCGAGGAGGATCATCTCGTGACGTGCGGGAAGAATTCGATTCGCGCGTACCGGCTGCGGAAAGGGCAGCTGCGCGGCTGCTCGGTGAGCCTCGGCGACTTGAAACTCTCGAAGATGATGTCCGGCGAGGCTGCCGCGGCGACGGACAAGACACAAAAGAAGAAACGCCCGGTCGACGAGCGTTTACTGAACGACTTCACGACGCTCGCGTTTGAAATCGGGTACGGCGTCACCGACCTCGACGCGAAGCGTCTGTACGTCGCGACCGCGACCGGAGCCGTCGTGCAGGTCAACTACGGCAAGCGGGAGCTCGAGTGCGTGTATCAACTCCACGACGGCGCGATCAACGCGCTCGCGATCAACGAAGGGTTCGCGGTGACCGCCTCGGACGATCGGTTCTTACGTGTCTGGCCGACGGACTTTTCCGATTTCTTCCTCGAGGCGGAACACGAGGCGCCGGTCACGTCCGCGTGCGTGTCCTCGGACGGCCTCCAGATCGTCGCGGCGACGTCCACGGGAAGCATGGGCACGTTAGACGTCCCGACGCACGCGTACCGTACCTTGTCTCGGTCGCACAACGCGTCCGTCACCGGCGTGGCGTGCGATCCGGTCAACGACGAGTGCGCGACGACGAGCGAGGACGGCACAGGTGCGTTCTATACAAATTTTCACCCATCGCTCGGTTTCAACATTTGATCGCGTCTCCTTTCAACTGACCGATGAACTATTTTGTATGGAATGGCCCACAGTGCGCGTTTGGGACGTCGTGACCGGCGAGCAGCTGTACGAGTTCGACGCCCCGGGGGAGTCCGCGCGGTGCGTGGCGTACCGCCCCGCGCGTGGTGGCGACTCCTCGGGTTCGAAAACGCTCGGCAATCGAGCGTTGGCGTGCGGATTCACCAACGGCCTCTCGCGCGTCTTCGACGTCGCCAACACGTCGCTCCTCGCGGAGCACCGCCAGCACAAGGGCGCGGTCGTGGACGTGACGTTCACCCCGGACGGCTCGCGGATGGTCACCGCGGGGAGCGAAGGGAACGTGTGCGTGTACGACGCGGAGGGGGGGTACCTTCCCGTGAAGTACCTCGCGACGGCGTTGCCGACGAGCCGAGTCAGCGTCGCGATTTCGCCGGACGGCGCGTCGCTCGCGACGATCGGCCCCGGCGCGTCGTCCGTCTTGATCTTCGACATGGACACGTTAACGCTTCGTCCGCCGGCGTTACTCCCGCCCGGGACGAACGCTCGCGCGATCGACCTCGCGTTCGCGCCGGACTCGAAGTCGTTGCTCGTCGCCGCGGACTCGCGCGCGGTGGCTCGGTACGACGTCTCCCCCGGCGCCGTGAACGCCGGCGACGGCGCGCCGATCGCGCTGATCAGAGACGCGCACGACGCCGAGTGCCGCGCGATCGCGGTCGACCCGGCGCAGCGTTTCGTCGTCACCGGCGGCGACGACGCGGTGCTCCGGGCGTGGCCGCTGCGCGCGATGCGCGATCCGCTTCTCCCCGCGACGCCGCCGTCGAGGACGCCGTCGCAGTCGTTCGTCGGCCATCGAGGACGCGTCAACGAGCTGTGCTTCGCGTCGGGGGGCACGCGGGTCGTGAGCGTCGGCGCCGGCGCCGAGGTGTTCGTGTGGGGGGTGGACGACGTCGCCGTCGCCGCGCTCGCGCTCGCGGCGCATCGCGACGACGACGACGCGGCGGCGGCAGCGGCGGCGGAGGAAGAGGAGGACGCGGCGGCGGCGTTTGAGCCGACGCGCACGCTTCCGACGACGCCCGCGCCGGCGACAGCGACCGCGACCGCGCCGGAGGCGCTCCCCGTCGCGGAGACGTCGCCCGTGAAGAAGGCGGCTGCGATCGCGGCGAAGCCGGCGGCTCCGAAACCCGCGCCCCCCGCGCCGCCGCCGCCGCCGCCGCCGGCGGCGAAGCCGAGCGCGAGCGCGAGCCCTCCGAAGATCGTCGAGCTTAACCCGAAGCACCCCACGGACACGCGACCCGTCCCGACGGACAGCATGGCCTACGCGGGGCAGAAGATCGACCCCCCGAAAGCGCCGCCGCCGCCTCCCGCGGCGCCCGCGGCTGCCGCGGCGCTCCGCAAAGAATCCGGCGGCGCCGCGGCGGCGGCGTCGAAAATACAGTCGAACGTCCGACGCCTCGAACCCGCGTCGCTGCGCCCTTCTAAGGTCATCGGCCTCGCCGCGGGCGTCGCCGCCGCCGCGAAGGAGGAGTCCGAGAACGCCGCCGCGGTCGCGGGCGCGGCCGCCGCGCCGCAGTCGCTCTACCTCCCCGAGCTCGGCGCGGTCGTCTTCGCCGCCGGCGCCGACGTCGTCGTCGAACGCGTCGGCGGCGACCGTCAGCAGGCGTTGCTCAGGCGCGTTCTATCTCACACTGTCTGGTCCCCATACGACCCCGTTCGCGTCGTGCTCGCCGTTTCTTAAGGACTGACTCTAACACCCGGCGTTTCACTCCGCCCACCCCTCTGTTATTTCGATCCCCGCCTTCGACGCCTTTCGACTCCGCTTCTGACGCCTTTCAACTCCACCCCGACGTTCGCTCGTACGAACCCTCGACCCTTAACAGGCGGCATCCGCACGCGATCACCGCGCTCGCGCATCACCCCGGCGCGCGCCTCATCGCCTCCGCGTCCCCCGCGAGCGACAAGGACGTCTCCGTCTTCGACGCGTCCGCGCCCGGGGAGTGCGTCGTGTGCGTGTGGGACGCGATGACGGGGACGTGCGTTCACGAGTTACGGCACGCCGACGCCGGCGGCGTCGTCGCGTCGCTGTCGTTTTCGCCCTCCGGAAGCCTCCTCCTCTCCACGGGCGCGGACCCGGACGGCGCGGTCAGGGTGTGGGACGTCGCCACCGGCGGGCTCGTCGCCGCGGCGACGTGCGACGCGCCGGTCGCCGCGAGCGCGTGGCTGCCGCGGGGCGCGAAGACGGCGTTCGTCACCGCCGGCGCCGACGGCGTGAAGTGCTGGCGAGTGAGCGTCGTCGAGGAGGACGCCGACGAATCAGACGCCGCCACGTCGGACGGCGACGACGATTCGAGCGACGAAGCGTCGCGGAAAACGGCGCCGCCGAATACGAAGTACGTCGTCGCGGACCCGGTGCCGTTCCCGTTCGACGCCGCGTCCGACGCGGCGTCCGTCTCGGAGCTGACGTCGACGGGCGACCCCGTGTGCACGGCGTTGTGCGTCGCGGAAAACGGCGCGGTCTACACGGGGGACTCGCGCGGGAGGGTCTGGCGCGCGGCGCCCGTAGACGACTTGGACGCGTCGTCCGCGCCCGCGCTCGCGCTGTGCGCGAAAGCGCTGCCGGAGCTCGAGGCGGTGACCGCGCTCGCGTGCGTCGGCGCGACGGGCGCGAAGTTGTTCGTCGGGTCGAGCAAACGCGCGCGGGTGTGGGAGCACGCGATGCGTGGGAAGGGGTGGGATGAAGTCGGCGAGCTCGAGCTGGACGGCGCGGTCGTCACTGCCGCGTTCTCGGGCGGCGCGGCGGAGTCGTCGGAGTATGAACCGTCGCGCGACTGCGACGGCTCGGATTCCTCCTCGTCTCTCCCGGGAAAGCCGGTTGGCATCGTGACGACGTCGGCGGGGAGCGCGTGGCTCGTGGACGTCTCCACGGGCACCGCGCGCGCGCTCGCGCAGGCGCACCCCAGGGCGATCGCGTCCGTGTCCCTGAGCGCGATCGGCTCGCGCGTCGCGCTCGCGACCGTGGACGTCGACGGCGCCGCGCGCGTGTGGGACGCGGAGAGCAGCGCGAAGGTGATCGAAGTCTTCTCGGAGGAAAAGAACGAAAAGAAGCCGACGCGCGCGAGCGTCGTCGCGACGTCCCCGAACGGCGGGCACGTGTGCCTGGGGTGCGAGGACGGGTCCATCGGCGTCGTCCGCGTCGGTTCGGATTCCCGCCCGGGAGGATCGAGGCGAAGATCAGAATCGAGATCGTCGTCCGTCTCGGGTCCGGTGAAGAGGGTGCGCGCGCACGCGAGCGATTCCGGCGGCGTCGTGTGCGTCGCGTTCGTTCCCCCCGCGCTCGTCGCCCCGAAGGGCATCGACCTCACGCCGCTGCTGTCCGTCGCCAGAGACGGCACGATCGCGGTGACGCAGACGCACGTCGCGGAGGCGGACGCGGCGAGCTTCGTGCCGAGCTCGCTCGTCCGCGTCGTCGAGAACGACCGCGGCGGAGGTGAGACTGCTTCCCATACGACCCCGTTCGCGTGGTGCACGCCGTTCCTTAAGAAGGACTTTTCCCGTCGTCACTCTTCACCCCCCGCGCTTCCCTTTCAACCTTTGTTTGACCGGTAAGACGTTCGACTGACCGATCGCTTCACCCGCGCAGGACGCGAACCTCTCTCCGAGAACGAACGCGTGACGTGCGCGGCGGTCGAGAGAGACACGAACCCGGCGCTGATCGCGACCGCGAGCGACGAGCGCGGGCTGTGCGTCTACGCTGTGGACGTCGTGGAGCACGTCGCGAGGCGCAGGGCGTCGTATTTACCCACCTTTGAGCGCTTCGAGCCGCTCGCGGCGGGCACCGCGCGCGGCGCGACGCTCGCGAAAAAACCAAAACCGGGCGACGCCCTCTGCGCGTGGTCCGCCGCGTCCACGGGCGTGGCGTACTTCTGCGCGCCCGCGACCGCGGGGAAGATTGTCGCGTTCGACGCGGCGAGGAACGCGGTGACGCGGGTCGTGGACGCGATGGCGTCGAAAGACGCGCGCGGGCCGACGTGCCTCGGCGTCGCCGCCGCGCACGGGTTCGACGTCGTCGCGGTGGGCGGCGAGGACGGCGTGGAGTTCATCGAGGTGCCGACGTTGGGTGCCGAGGGTGCCGACTCGGGTGCCGAGTGCGCCTCGGCGCCCGCGAAGGGGCTGAGGAGGGGGGTGTTGAGGCTCGCCGAGGGCGCGAGCGCGCTGGAGTGGAGCGAGGACGGGAAGAAATTGTGGGTCGCGTCGGGGAACTGCGCGTACGAAATATCGAACCCCGCCGCGCACCTGCGATGATGGTCTGTGCGATATTACCGTACGTACAGTATACACTTCCGGAAGCACCGCACTTTGGTAATACATACGATACGACACGGTACACTACAGTACAGTACAGTACGTCGATCGCGTCTATCCCCCCCGCGGCCCGCGACTACCTACGCGCTCGTCTCGGCGCGTTTATTCCACCTCGTCGAGGTATCGCGCGCCGTGTCGCTGCCGCGCGCCGTGCGTCCCCCCCGAGGACCTGCGCTCGAGTCGTTGCGCCTCGTCCTGCGCCTTTCGCCGCTGCCACGCGGACTGGGGCTGACCCTGACCCTGACCCTGACTTTGACCCCCGCCTTGACCCCGGGACTCCATCTTTTGAGCCCACGCGGACTGAATCTTCACCGCGGCGTCGTCCTTCTTGTCCATCTGTTCCCGCAGCCGCGCGCGCCGCGCGCGGTCTTTCGCCGCCTCCGCTTCTTTCCGTCGCGCGGCGACGACGTGCGCGGGCGGCGTGTCCGGATCCATCGGGTCCTCGCTCTCCGCGAGGAACGCCATCATCTCCAGCTCGTCCGCGGTCATCCGCGGCGCGGTCGAGACCGGCGTTACCGGCGGCCCGCCGTACAGCGGCGGCGCGGACGGCGCGCGATCACTGCGCAGCGCGTCTTCCTCCATCGCGTCGTGCCCCGACCCCACCCCCCCTTGGTCCCAGTGATCCGAGTAATCGTTCGGGTCGGGGGCCAGCGACGCCTGGAGTACCGCGGCCATCTCCATGACGACCTGGTCCGGGCGCTTATCGTCGGCGTTCCAGTCGCGTCGACGGCCGAGTTCGCGCTCGCGCATCTCGCGGCGGCGTTGGTTCGCGCGCTCGCGTTCCCACTGCGACTCCGCGTCGCGCGTCGCGGCGGCCACCTCCGCGTCGTCGAACCGCCGTCCCCCTCCGCCGCGGCGAGGGCTCAGGGTCGTTCCATACGAGCGAACGTCGGGGTGGAGTTGAAAGGCGTCAGAAGCGGAGTTGAAAGGCATCGAGAGCGGGTATTGAAACCGAGGGTTGGGCGGAGAGAGCGCCGGGAAGTACCGTCCTTAAGGATCGGCGTTCACCACGCCGACGCGGTCGTATGAGGACCAGTGTGAGATAGAACGCACCTCATTCGAAACGCGTGCATGCGAGAGTCGTCGTCGACTCTCAAGTCGCCCGGCGTCACGCTCTCCTTCCCCGTGCCGTGCAGGCCGTCCCTTCCCGCGAGCCTCAAGAGCTCTTTCGCGTTACCCGCCGCGCGCACCTCCCGGTACATCCTCGCGCACGGCCCGGAGAACTCCTGGAGCTTGCTCCACAGCTCGAACGCGGGGGCGAGGTAGTGCGAGTACTGAGGGCCGTTGTCGGGGTGGAGTTGAAAGGCGTCAGATGGAGTTGAAAGGCATCGAGGGCGGGTATTGAAACCGAGGGACCCTGGGCGGAGAGATGCGCCGGGCGAAGTCCTTAAGGAACGGCGTTTACCACGCGAACGGGGTCGTATGGAAACCAGTGCGAGGAGAACGCGCCTTGCGCATCATCCTCGCGAACTCCTTCACGGTGATGACCTCGTCTCCGTCCTCGTCCATTTCTCGCATGATCGTGTCGATGCCTTTCGCGACGCCGCCGACGTTCCCGAAATTCGCGAGCCCGCGCCCGCGGCGGTCGCTCGTGATGACCTTCGCGGTGCCCGCGCGCGCGTACGACGCTGAGGGTCGAGGGTCCATCGTTCAAAGCGACGTCGGGGTGGAGTTCACGGGCGTCAGAAGCGGATTTGAAAGGCGTCGAGGTCGCGTCTTGAAAGCGAGAGAGGGGTTGGCGGAGAGAGACGAACGCCGGGAGAGAAAGTCCTTAAGGAATGAAGTTCACAACGCCAACGCGGTCGTATGGGGACCAGTGTGATGAGAATGAACGCACCCGAGAGCGCCTCGACGAACTCGTCCTTCGTCATCGCTCCCGAGTCGTCCGTGTCGAACAGCCGCCACGCGAAGTACACGTGCTCGCTCTGCTTCTTGTTCACGCTGAACTGCGCGAGGCAGACGACGAACTCGTACAGCGACATGTGGCCGTCGCCGCTGACGTCGAAGAGCGCCACGAGCCGCGGAAGGAAGACGTTCGAGCGCTCGATGTCGAAAAATTGCGCGAACTCTCGCGCGTCGACGCTGAGGGTCGTTCCATACAAAGCGATGTCGGGGTGGAGTTCATAGGCGTCAGTTGGAGTTGAAAGGGGCCGAGGTGTGTCGGGATTGAAAGCGAGGGGTGAGCGGAGAGACGCGCCGGGCAAAGTCCTTAAGGATCGGCGTTCACCACGCCGACGCGGTCGTATGGGGACCAGTGTGTAGAACGCGCCTGAAATCCGCGTTCTTGTCCGCGCGCCTGAAGAGCTGGACGACATCGCGCGCGGTCTTGCGCGAGCATCCGAGGCCCTGGAAGACGACGACGACGAGAAGAGAAGAGAAGAGAAGAGAAGACGCGGGGAGGGCGACGGGACGGTCGGCGGGAGGGCGCACGGGGGAAGAAGAGAAGACGTGAGATGGAGGGAGTCGGGGCGGGGGCCGCGGGGGGAGGAACGAAACGATGAAGCCGAAGCGTTTGCTGCGTTTCTCCGCGAGGACGACGCGCGGGGCCCGCGGGGTGAGGGAGGGACGGGACGTGCCGCGAGCTTCTCCGCGGCGGCGCGGCAGTCCTCGACGTACCGCGCGCTCTCCTCCGCTCGCTCCGTCGACGCGACGCACCCCATGGCGACGACGACGCGACGACGCGCTCGGCGAAGTGGCGCGAGACGTCGGAGAAGAGTGAAGTTTTCTCGATCGGACCAACGGGTGCTGCGGGTGCCGTTTTTCCCCCTCGCCTCGCGCCGACCATCGCATTTGCACCCCTCGCGCGGCGCTCCCACCCCTCGCCGCGCGGCG